CTGGTTTTCGCATCAGGAGCAAAAATATATAAATTTTTTCCAGTTCCGACTCTTGAACACGCCACGTAAAGTTGGCCATGGGAAAAGCAAGGAGTCTCTAGATTAATACCAGCAACCTTAAGTGATTATCCTTGAGCCTTATTGATGGACATCGCGAAGGCAAGACGTACTGGAAACTGAAGACGCTTGAATTCAAACGGCATATCAGTAGGAATCATGGGTATTCGTGGCATGAAGACGTCCTTACCCTTTGTGCAGCCTGTCAGGATGGTTGCTTCGATAACATGAGGCATCAGACTTTTTACAGGCAGTCTTGTACCATTGCATAGTCTTGGAGCATCCAGGTTCCTCAAAAGCATAATGGGAGAACCAACTTTGAGTAAAGTTACAGAATTTACAAGAAAAGCCCTAAATTTATTTTTTCTTCGTGTCCTTCCCAATCACGAACTAACTGGAACTAACCTGACCGGTTGGTTAACTGTAGAGTGGACATGAATGACTAACGTTATAGTATTCCCTTCTCTTTCTATAACATCAAATAAAAATGATTTTCTTTTCTGTGACTAATAGATAGTTTTTATTTGGGCTAGATAATTCATCAATGCACATTGATGACTTTTCTGTGACGTTATTCATATATAGTATTGTTTATATATAGTAGTGTTGCATTTGGACGAAAGGAGAATGAATAACGAAACTTTCACTTCCATTCATGTCATATATTTGTTATTTTTCGGTCTCTCTATGCGTTAATCGTTTCGAAAAGTTGTAAAAGTGTGAAAGGGACATATAAAAAAGATGCCACAAACTCAAGTAGCCTGTTATCGATTATAGCATCTGTCTTTCTTATTAGCTTTTTCTGCGAAAATCATAACGATCCTCGTTAGGTACATATTCTTTTTTCCGTATTTCTTAAGCTAAGTTAGAGTACCCGGTTAACCGAGCACTACAACGGTCTGGTTTACCTGTAGATTAACTTACTTGATAACCTCTCTGTATCTAATGTATTTCATGTCTGAAACTAGCTCAACCGGTTGATTAAGTGGGGGTTGGAGCTAGATCAGATAGAGCTAGCTCGATCGGTCGGTTAAGTGGGCGGTTAACCTAGCTGATAACCTCCCCAACCGCCCTAAAGTAGGTTGAACCGCGATTCTAGCTCCATTTTTTTGCTTGGGCAGCTGATGACGGAAGATCACTAGTCTTCAATTACGTTTTCCTCGCGGCACCTGCAACCGATGATACTGGTTCCCAATACCTGTGCATTGGCAGCCGTTGCCGCTTTGGAAAGTCGATTATATGAAACAAATTTTTTCCATCAAATATAATCTCTGATCTATCTGGAATGTAGAGCTTGGCGAGTTACCGATGTGTACATATTTTCAGTATTCAGACTACTCTAGCGGGTTAAGAATAATTTCAACCTTAAACTATGAACGATCAGTGCATATGATCGACTATTTCTAGTATATACTGAAAGGCAAAACAAAGTAAAACTTGCTAATCCTGTCATAATATCATCACTGTGAGTGTCGCGAAACACACACAGACAGAAGAGTTCATATAATGTCTGTTTAATATATGAATTCAAATAACTTTAATGTATTCGCTAGAGTTAGTACCACTGTTTATCGGTCGAACAAATAGAAGTACCGATTGGTAAGATATCGTTTAACTTCTTATTCAAATCCAATCCCTTTTCCTTAATACCAGCACACCCATTAGGACACTTTAACAAAACAAAAACAAACTCTAAAATTTCAACCACAAACTTCTTACAAATAGGCGTGTATACAACAGTATATACTTCAGCCAAAGTTCCAACCGTAACAATCACTTGTTTGACTCTAACAAAAGCTAGCGTGCGTGGCAGCCGAACATCAGTTTTTAGGAGCTGTCAAGCGTACTCCACTAGAAGTTTAAAATGACAATTTTGCTAAGAGAAAATTAACCCTATGTAACCTAACGGTGTATTACGCGGCACATTTCAATCTGCTACTACTATTTTTTTAAAATTCCTTTTCATTGGAGAGAAAATTAACATTTTCTTAGTAACATCTCAATATGGCGTGGCTTGGAATAAAAAGCATATAACTCGACAACCTTAACAAATTTCAAAACTCAGTTTTTACTTAAATAATGTCCATTTGATTCTGCACAAGTTAGTCTTCTGTATTAAGGATCCAGATGATGCCTTACAGTTCTGGATCGAGCAAGTCATCTCCTCGACCGAAATCTCTATTCCAGTTAAAATAGTTCCTCTTGTTCAACAAAGCACCCTTCGCCTTTCGAGGCAGACGAGATTCCTTCAACGTAAAAGAGACGATGCCTTCTGTAAATCGAAATACAAAAACTATCATCCTCGGCTATTTAAAATTTACAAAAAATTTAGAAACTTGTCAATTCAATCTGTTCATAGAGATAAAAACAGGTTATTTCAATCAATAATGAAAACATTTTCATGTAGTAAACGTTTCTGGACACATAAATAAATACAGAAATACAGAATGTGATTTACCAGTCACCCATACACAGTCAGACATAACACTATTCTTGCAACTGACCATCAGTCTAAAGCTCAACTGTCCTCTGACTACTTTGAAACTAATTTTGCTACAACTCAAGGATCTTCACACTTACCTCTCTCAACCTCTACTAATGTAACTTCTCAATTGTTGTGCGATGTCAAATTCGATGTAGCTGATGTTTTCACCTCTATTTCCAGTTTAAATAATAAAAGTTCTGTTGGGATTGATGGTATATCTATAAAATTTCTTAAAATTTCTCCCGATATAATTGCTCCTCAGTTGCACCATATCTTTTCCTTATCTCTTCAAGCTGGTGTTTTCCCTTCTTTATGGAAACAATCCTTAATCAAGGCCATTCACAAAAAAGAAAGTAAACTTTTAGTCTCTAATTATAGACCAATCTCGTTGATTTCCTATATCAGTAAAATTCTTGAAAAGTTAATTCATAAGCACCTGCTTTCGTTCTTGACATCTACTAACTTTTTCTCATCTAGTCAATTTGGTTTCCGACCTAATTGCTCTACAATCGATCCTCTACTCTTAATTACTCACAATATTTACCAGCATCTGAATAACCGACGCAAAACTGTTGGTGTTGGGTTCGATTTTGAGAAAACGTTTGATCGCATGCCTTATCATATTTTACTAAGGAAACTCTCTTCCGCCGGCATCTCTGGTTCTCTTTTCGACTGGTTCAAATCCTATCTTACAGGAAGGACACAAAAAGTTGTAGTAGATGAGGTCGCTTCTCTTTCTGTTTCTGTTAGTTCCGGAATTCCTCAAGGGTCAATCCTTGGCCTATTACTTTACCTCATATTTATAAATGACTTACCACAATCGTTAGCTTCTCCGCTATTAACATCCCTTTTTCCTGACGACCCATTTCTACTCTGCGATCTGGATGAGGCTCAATCTTGTATTGACGAAGTAATTTGCTAGTGTGACACTAACTTCGTTGGTCTCAATATAAAAAAATGCGAGTGGATAATCTTTTCTACTTTACCTAATACCTATACATCTATGTCACTTACTATTAACGATATAAAAATTGAACGCTCAAAAGCCATAAAATTACTTGGTATGAGACTTGTTCATGACCTGACTTGGAAACGCCACTTACAACATATTGCATCTAATTGTACAATGAGGTTGGGATCTATTTCTCGTGTGTTTAGGGATGCTCCACCTTCGTTACGTCTTCACTTGTATAAAACTTGTGTTCGCCCAGCTTTGGAGTATGATTCTATCATTTATGACTCATCCTATTGCACTCACTTATCTGTATTAGACAAAGTACAGAATCTAGCATGTAGAATCATACTACAGACTATGTATCCTGTCAAGTCAGTTAAATTTACCACCATTATCCTCGCGGAGAAAGTTTTCACGTTTAGTTTATTTCTATAAACTTTACCATGGTTGCAGTGCTCTTTCTCATAGCAGTCTTACTAGGCGTCTATCCACCCGTCAAACTGAGAGAAACTCACATAATAAACGGGTCCAGCGCAAGAACTTCGCCTTAAAATCTGCTTCCGGTTCTTTTGTACCGAAAACTATAGAGGACTGGAACAAATTACCTTGTACTGTTGTTCATCAGAATACGCTAAGAACATTTTCAACTGTATTAAAACAACATCTTTTTACTGTCTAAAAAACACTCTCTTTTTGCTATGTGTGTGTGTGTGCGTGTGTGAGATATTATTTTATCCAGTGTTACATTCGAACAAGTTCTAGCTTTCTTGTAATTTCCTTGTGTTCTTTACAAAAATAAATTCATTCATTCATTCAAAACTTAATGTGTCATATACTGGCGGCAATGGATCCGAACATCGAAGTTTATATATATTTTCACCCTGATATTCAGACGTTCTCACATACCATTTGCCTTGAAAATCTCCCCCATTTTCATTCCACTCCAACTGAATATTAACATCGTGTCCCAAGTTCTGACGTCTATTTGGGCCTGTGCCAAGAGTATACGTTTTCACAATGCCCATTTTTAGATTTCTAGTTGAATAAACACCTCGTAGTGTATAATCTCCAACATCATCCGTTCCGTAACCGGTTAGTGTCGAACGATCATAGTCGAATTTTATTGTACATACTGGCAATTGATGATACCGACCATCTTGAAAATATTCACCAGACCATGAACCGGATTGAAATCTGTCGGGATGTTCTTGAAGAGCTCGTGAAAATGGTTTAGTCTTATTGACCCATTGACTTGGAGAATAGAATGGTCTGCCTCTCCAATATTTTCGAATACAAACACACGAAAAGACACCGATTAATGCCATTGCAATTGCTCCGAAAATGGAACCAAGTACGATTCCACACGTTTGGCCACATGATCCTCTACCGCCCGACCCATTAGAATAAAATCCACCACTGCTATAAAAAGCCATACTTTAAGTATGTAACGGAGGATCAGGACAGGGGGGTTAAGATGTTTTTAGACTTTCCTATTCTTGTTTCGGGTTTTCCGACAGTGTTTGCTATTTCGGGTCTTTTTTTCTGCTTTATATCGCAAAGTTTTGGTACATTGCGTACTGAACAACTGGGCTCTTCACTAATAAGATTCTAGCGAGGGAACATTTCCAAGTGAGGCACTCTGATTTCATTCGTTCGTACGTCGATCGATAGAGGATGGTGAGCTAGTAAAAAGCCTAAAAGGATTCGGGTCCTTGACTCTTAAAGACCCGGTTTTCGGGAAAACCAGTTTTTCAGAAACTTTACAAAATAACCAAAATCTTTTCTTAATGATGCGTGATTGTAGCCCACACACTTCTGATTAAAATTAAAAAAACACCCAGCTTCTGTATCGATCGACGTACGAACGAATGAAATCGGAGTGCCTCACTTGGGAATGTTCCCTCGTAAGCACATACAGCACTGTTATCTTTCTAGATACGACTCTTCCGCGAATTGAAATTCTCCTGTGTATGCGAAGCAGGACAACTAGTAAGCAGTTGATATAGGTGACAGTACTCGGTTCGTGAAAGAGCTGGCGAATCGTTTTCTTTTATCAAATAGCCAACGTTCTGTGTGTGAATTTGAGATTATTACAGTTACAAACTTCCGTGAAAGTTCTCGTGCTTCGGTTACTAATCTGAATATCATAAAACATTGAATGAGTTAGTACAACTGAATCCATAAAGTTACAATAGAAGTAAAGTAACGAACCACCCTTCTCACAATCGAGGCTAATTCAATATCAAACAACACTGTCAGATGACTCGTGTTACCACCTATAGCATGTGTAAGTAACAAATAAGCAATCTTGACTTGGACTGTTTCGCGAAAGGTGGATTTGAATCCACTAATAGATGTCTAAAATATTTGACCAGCATTCTGTCTAAAGGTCAAAGTGAGATAAAAGGATCTTCATTTCATCATGAAAAAAATAATATAAACTACAGTAGTAGGCGTAATAAACAAAACTCTGTGCTAAAGGTAGTCGATAAAAGTTAAAAAAGACGATCAGAACATCGAAATGCATAATATTTTATTATTAACTCCGTTAATCGAGGAAGCGAACCAACAATTTTTCCGTTCTGTGACGACAAGTCATCGGCTGAAGATGAGACGTAACGTCTTACTATTTAATGGACATACTTGACGTATGACATTTAACCTCCACCTCCTCCAGACGATCCACCACCACCTCGCTGTGACTGGACTTGGGTGATTAAAACTAAGGCAAGAATAACAGGTAATATATAAACAGTTTTAAGAGGATGCATGCTTATTTTTCTGCTTTTTGGTGAAATTATCAAGCAATTCTTTATGTACAGAGTAAAAATCGGTAATCAGTCATACTCAAAGAAGAAAGAGAACGATGTCGTTGTGTATGTATGAATCAATATTATTTTTCTTTTTTGTCGCCCACATGTAATTTTCAAGAATGATGACGTACAAGAGGAATAAAACTTATCAATGCAGACCTTGGTATTGAATTGTCCGTGGGTTCACGTACATGCGTAAGCGTCTGGGGAGCGGAGCGATGTATGAGATGGGTGAAATTTCCGGTTTTCAGCAATTTCTCTCTTTACAAACTTTTATTCCTTGTTGTTCCTTTTTCAGAGAAATTCAGGTAAAGAGTTTTATGTTATGTTATTATAGCAACAACGTCATCATTCTTCGCAGCAGAGAACAGAAATCATACAAGGTTCCATAATTGAAAGAAGTAATGATGTAGTTTTTCTCATTACCATGAATTTTGCACAAGAATATTAGTCACGTAATAAAGGTAAAAATCCATATTAAGGTGAATGGTATAGGTTTTTTCCGATGAAAAATTTAGCAAGCGGACTCCAAAGTTTGTGACAAAATTGTCAGCTTTTTGCTTTTTAATCCACCACTAGACGGCTTGGCCAGCTAACTCTGTTATGGCAGTGAATTACGTCACGTTTTTTTCCATTTTGTTTCTCTTATAATTTTCGAGCAGTGAAACACCCAGAGCTTCGAACAATCTCTAATCAAAGAAAACGAAGCCGTTGAGCTAAAAATTAATTTGGATATCGAAATTTGTTAAAAATGAACTTTTGAATAGTAGTACCGGTAAAATTTCAACCTGAGAACATGTGACTTCGTATCGTATTTTGATGAATCGAAAATTGAATTTAAAAAAGGTGGCGATAATTGATCTGTTTTTTCTGGCGTTGTTATTCATTTTGAAAAAGTTTTATATAGTTTAAAATTTCGATGTCTACTTTGTTGATTGATGTTAAAGTCGTGACTTTGGCAATCTTGTACAATAATGCCTCACTAAGAAAGGTTTTGATTACTTTTTAGAGTTTCGGAAAGACTGATTTTTCAGAAAACCGGATCTTCTTACAGTTAAGGGCAGCTTCCATAATCATATTCGGAATCAGCATGGTCGATAACCTATAACCCACTAGATTTCGATCAAAAAGCTTTTTGTCACCTGGATAGGTTACCTCGTAAGATGAACAAGATGAAGATTAAATAGAACATAATGGAAAAAACATGGCGTGTATGTACTTACCTCATTACATAAAAAATGTGTACTGTCTGACCATCATGGACATGAGTTCCGTTTCTCATCGAGCTCATCGCAGTATAAACGATGGATCGATCTTCAGCGTAGGGTTCGATTCGGACGAGTACTTGGGCTTTCGAACGTAGTTGTGATTCAGAAAGTAATTGTTCTTTGGGACAAAGTTTCATGCTGTATAAATAACTATGATAGAGAAACAGAACAGTGTTTATTCCATCTCCTGTTTGCTTTTATGTGACTAGTCGAAAGAAATGGGTAAAAAAGAAGAAAATAATCGAAACAGCATTTGAGGATTTATAAGAAAAGTTGTGGTTCATTGTAACAGTTTTTCTTTCTCTTATAAAATGCAAGCACATTTTTTATGTAATGAGGTACATACACACCATGTTTTTCCATTCTGTTCTATTTAATCCTCATCTTGTTCAACTTACGAGGTAACCTGATAAAACGTTGATAAAAGGTAATAAAACGCTTTTTGATCGAAATCAAGTAGGTTATAGGGTATCGACCAGGCATGGGCGAGTCCGAGTCCGGACTGGAAGATTTTTTGGCGGACTCGGACTGGAGATTTTTTTAAAGGACTCGGACTCTGACCTGAGTTTTTGTATTTCGGGTCCGATCGATTCAAGTTTTAACATAAATGAGCACTAAATTTTTTCTTTAGTTTTATTGTTCTGCGTTCGATGCAGTTCAACGACGGTCTACAGCTTTGCATTCAATATCAATGTATGAGATATAGATTATAACAGATTAGAAATATTGCTCTCTCTAATAAATTTTAACTACTGCAGCAGCTTGTTTTAAG